TAAGTTCAACAGGCAATGCAGCACTGGTCAAAGTAACTCAAAAAGTCGTCAGTTGAATAGCTGGAGAATCAGATTATGAATTTTTATCTTCCGTACAGATGAGGTGCGTATCGGGCAAAGAAACGAAGCCATCGCAGGAAACGATGAGCGACAAAAAAAAGAGATAAAACTACATCCCCTGAAGAGGAATTGAAGCAAACACTAAAATCTGAAGTACAACAAGAATTGTTTGTGAAAGTCAGTAATGAGTATCAATACAAAAAACAAAATTCAAACCAAATAGCAAAAAAAAGGGATACGGATGATGTGAAAACGATCTGCAAGTTGTAGGGAACCGCAAGAAGTCCAAAAGAACCAAGAAACTCACACACTGCTTACACCGGCGGCAAGCAGCATTTGAAATGTATGCACCACACTAGCATACAAATGAAAAAAAGCTGGACAAGCGGCGATAAAAGATCAATCTAAATATCACACTCAAGAAGACACACCAGGAACTGCCAGTCTGTGTTTCATCCCTTAGCTGTAAACAATGACCGGACGCAATGTCCGCGTAGGACTGGGAATCATCAGTACAGCCTTCTACCCGCCATTTTGCAGGACGAACATTTGCGTCAAATCGCATAAGACTAGAGAAATGTGAGCCCGCACAGCTACTTATAAAGCAATATATCACGATTCAGAGGATCTCGGACAAAGGAAACATAATTCACCCGTAGGTAGAAAAGACGTGGTGTTCAATGCTCGCTCGCGTCCAAACTCTGCACAGATTGGCCCCGTTGCCCAAACTGCACAAAAATATACAAACAAAGCGACATTCCTTAAGCTTTCTCGGACTCTCCGCAGTTATTTCATCACTAGCATTGTGTTACTACGTTCACAGGCTCCCGTATCCCCTCCCCCGTCCCCCTAAACTCTCAAAAGTGCGCCAGCTGTCAACGGGCCGGATAAAATTTCGAAATTTTCGGATTCTTGGGAAACTTGCAAAAAACAACACTAACACCCAAAGCTCCTAAATTTACCGTAGAATGAAGTCTCGACTTTAATGGAACTGAATTTACGTAAAATCCAGGAGAAACCCGAAGCCAAAAGTCCACCCTTCAAGCCACCCAGTACCAGAACAGCTCCAATGGGACACACAATCACTGCAGAAGCGGGACGTGTCCGATTGGAACTTTGCCAATAGGGGATACCCGGAACTTGAAAACATTTCCTGTTCATGGCCGAGACACCTTTAACAGCACAATATTTGTGGGAAATCACTAAAATGCCTCGCACGCCCATACACACACGCACAAGCGAACGCACCCGTACACATGCACACACCCACAAACATGCGCGCATACCCGCATACAACCGAACACATTCGCACACATGCGCACACACCCGCACACATGCGTACACGCCTGCACACATCTGCATACACGCACGCACACACACAACATGAGTCGTCAAAATATGCGTTTTTGCATTTGCATATATGCAAAAAAAGGTATAAAAATCGAAATTTTCGCAAGAAAGTGGAAGCGAAAGTACTCGAAAGCAACTCAGCTGATAAGATATATATTAACAGAACTAGTAAAGAACCATCAACAGTTTTCCTTTCCGAAAGGTTACCCTGACATGTGCCAATATTAATTAATCAGTGGCCGGATCGTAGAGGAATTGGTTGCATCTTCGAAATTCAGTACCACAATAATGCCACCTACCATTTCGTCAAATCTTCCAACATCTTGTAGATTATAGCTTCGCGTCGTGATCCTGTTCTCCAATCTCGCTGTCCATGCATGAACCGTAAAGCAAGTTTTTTTTTCCCTCGTCCCCGAATCTCGCTCATTTCAGCCCTGTTGTTTCATTAAATATGAAAATACGGCAAGCAATTTGCTAAAAAAATGAAAAATTTGCACGGAAAAAATTTAAACATTCTCAAATATTCAGTTTCTCTGTTAGCAACCTCTCTAAGACACGAAAAAAAGTCAGGACGCCCACCAGGTTGATCAACAAGTGATGTAAATTGGTCAGAGTAACTGAGGAAGTTGCCAGTTTCACAGATCCGCAACCTTATTATAAATTACATTACCCGCAATTACGAAAAATTTCCATACAGTTTCATTTTTATCGCAAAAAATTGACTAAGAGTTTTTAACCGCAGCTTAGCAACAGTATTACTTGAAATATTTTCGAGCTGTTT